CGCCAAGATGATAACTGGGAAGCCCTGCTTGAGGCCTGCCTTGCACAGGAGCGGCATGGATATACTGTCGTAGAACTTCTCAAGAACCAATAAGATCGCTCGCGCCGCTGCTGATGGACAACAAGTGGCAACACTCGTCCATGCAATTTCTCACCAAGGCTGCTTGCAGGGACGACGATCCTCTGACCGCAGTGCCCCGAAACTCGGCGAGACCATCACTCCAGCACTCTAAGAGGGGGCATCTGATCTTGGACCAGAGCTCCATCAAGAACGGTAGCTGCCCCACGATCCTGTCGCCGCCCCTGGGCTTCGGAACGACGGCGCCCAGCGCTGCGAAAAGCTGGGCTGGCCACATGCCTTGGGCCCCGATGGTCGCCGAAATCGAAACAAGCTCCTGGCGCGCAGGTTGAGGCAGGCGTTGGACCTCGACGGGGCCCATGGGGTCTATCCCCTTTCGCCTTCCCGGGGTTCAAGCGGCCGACGACGGAGTCGAGCTGCTCGAGGGAGATGGGCCCCAGGTCTTCCTGGCGGGCCCTGCCCATCACAAACTCCAGGCCTTCGAGGATGGTTGACTGCGTGGCATGTGCGCCCGTCCAGACGTCCTGCCAGGCAGCTGAACGGCTGCCCATGATCTGACTGGGAGTGGCGAAGGCGTGGCCCGAGCTATCGCAGTGCTCGTCGCGACCAGGCCGTGGAGGTTTGGCGTGTCTGCGCAGCACACCCGGGGAATCACGCCACATCTTCAGCGCCAATTTGTTGAAAGCGCGCCGACCGTCGGCGAGCGCCTTGCCCGTGGCTCTGCCGAGGAACCGCTCGGCGATCTCGATGATGCCCGGCAAGTCGGCGTCGCTCTGCTGGTCGAGGTCCGAAACCGCCGCCACCCACGAAATGAAGACCCCACCGCCGTCCTGCTGGAAAGGCTTCTGAAGCTCATTGTCGAGGGCGACATGCAGGAGCTCAGCCACCTTGCTGCTGAGCGCGGTGGCTTCGCCAGCGGCGCTGCGACGTCGGATCGCCCGGTAACGAACGAGCAACGCGGTGGCCAGGTGCCACCACTCCAACAGTTGGTGGCGCATATGTGCTCGAGCAGGAGTGGCGCTGGCACGATTCCAGGCGATAGAGAATCCGAGCCAACGACCACAATGACGCTTGCCAAACTCTGAGGATAGCCCGCGGTGCTGGACGGTGGCCTTCTCGACGGTGTCTATCCAGTCGTGGTAGGCGCGGGCGATCTCCACCTTGGCCTCGGGGTTCCTGTCCAACAAGTAGTGCGTCGTCAGCTGATCGCTCGCGAGCTGGCGGGGGCTTCCGACCTGGCCCCTGAGTCGCTCCCCTGATTTAAAGCCCGTGGCCACCAGCGGGCTCAAGGGGACTGCAATTACCAGGTCTGTCGAGCGCGATCCCGCAGCACAGGGCGCAAACGGCAACGACGAGGCCGCCGGAGCTGAAGGTCGCGGAGGCTGCTCTGGTCCTCGAAGGAGCGGAGCGGTTGGGGGTTCCAGAGGCGCGCGGTCACCCCTACTGCTCCGCTCGATGGTGTCCTCGTCGCCCTCTGGCGGTGCGTAATCCTCGATGTCGCCCATGGGATCGTGATCCACGGCGTCGAGAGTGGTTCTCTGACTTGATTCCGAACGATATCCTGGCAAAAGGTTTTGAAAAAGGATGGTGCTCTGCCCGGCGCTGCTGAGCGTCATTTGCAGAGCTGGCACACGTAATAGTCGGTAGCACGTCGGCACTGGTGGCCGAATCAGAATTATCCCAGCGCGACCCTACCTAGGAGTTGGAAACCCTAGGAAAGCAGTATTAGTAGTAACAGTAACGCTAAGCTAAAGCTAAGCTGAAGCTAAGCTAAAGCTAAGCTAAAGCTAAGCCGCAGCTAAGCTAAAGCTAAGCTAAAGCTAAGCTAAAGCTAAGCTAAAGCAAAGCTAAAAGCTAAGCTAAAGCTAAGCTACAGCTAAGCTCAAGCTAAGCTAAAGCTAAGCTAAAGCTAAGCTGAAGCTAAGCTAAAGCTAAGCGAAACGCTAAGCGAAAAGCTAAGCGAAACGTAAAGCTAAAGCTAAGCTACAGCTAAAGCTAAGCTAAAGCTAAGCTAAAGCAAGGCTAAAGCTAAGCTAAAGCTAAGCTAAAGCTAAAGCTAAAGCTAAAGCTAAAGCTAAAGCTAAAGCCCCCAGGGGACTGGGGAGAACCGCCCCCAAGGGACTGGGGGAACCGCCTGGGGCGTGTTCCACTGCCCGGCCCCTTTAAGCTAAGAGAGTAAGAACCCTTCTAGGCAGAGCCTGGGTAGGGAATTCACACCTCGAACTCGGAGCCATAGGTCAAGAGGAATGCAGAAGCTTGCCGCTGGAGCGTCAAGCGCGCCTTCGTCGCTCGAGCGGTGGAGCTCGTCGTAGGCGCCCTGGAGATGCTGATTCAGGGCCCCCGCTTCCGCATGCGATGCGAGGCCAGAGATTTCTGCCTCTTGCTGTCTGGATACGCCTGCTTCTTCGGCCCGGCGACGGTCGGGAGGTCGCGAGGAGCCTGCATGACTCGGATCCACCAATTCTTCCTGCCGTCGCATACCGAGAGAACGAGGCCGACGCGCGTCCTCCAGGGCACCTCCACCACAGCCTCTATCTTGACCGAGTCGGCGAGATCGGACCTGACGATGCCGCAATCGACCATGGCGCCCTGGCCGAGGTCGCACGTCGCCTCGACGTTCGACGGCAAGACGATGGCGCCGCCTAGCCTCTTGAGTCACTTGTTCTTATCCCAGTCGGAGGGCTTGCTGATCTAGTCGCTCATAACTACCCATGGATCTGCAAGCAGCTTCAAGAAGGATGCGAGCCGCGCTAACATTCGCTCATTGGGGCCGCGGAACCCGAACTTCGGTTGGAGGTAGACGGCCACGCCGATGACGTTACCAGCCTTGGTGTGCCACGTCGCGGGGCAGAACCCCCCGAACGGATCCTTGGCCGAGCGCGAAAGCTCAGCCTGTCGCCATCCCTCAAAGGACGTGGTCGCGAGGGTCTTCTGCACAAGATGGCCTCACTGCCAGTAGTGCCAGCCTGGGAGCGGCCCGTGAGTGTAGAAGGGGTGGCAATCGCTTTCCATCCGTCCTTCGACATGTTGACGGTCATCTTGTCGAGCTTCTCGCCTCGCAGGTGTGTCTCTGCGAAACCGAGCACGTCGCACTGCTCAGCCTGGGCCCTCATGAAGCTCTCCGAGCGCGGGCCCCACCCGGAGATGTTGGCAAAGAAGAAGCGGCCGTCCTGGCCAGGAGCTGGGCGCTCGCCGCCCTGCCCCTTTGTCGTGGGAGCCGCTTGCACCAGGGGCAGCAGCATCCACATCAGGCCAGCCAGCAGCAGCGTTGGCAGCCTTCTGCTCGACTCTCTCCTTAGCCTTGGCGATGGCGCTGGCTGCCTCTGCCTTGGCGGACTCGCGGGCCTGGGCGGCCTCGGCGGCGGAAGGTGCAGCAGCCGCGGGGGGCTTCTCCTGCTTGTCGGCCTCGGCGGCGCCTGGGCCGACGCGCCCCCGGCCGTCGTCACCGCGGAGCCTCTTGGCTGGGTTGGCTCGGATCTCCTGGACGGACTTGAGCGTGGCCTGAAGCGTCTCCTGCAAGGCTGCGACCTGCTGCACGTGCGCGTCCACCTGGGCCTTGAGATCCTGGAGCGTGGTTTTCTGACCTTCGTCGAACTCGTCGAGATTGTCCATGAAGTCAGTCTCCTTGATAGCGTGCAGAATCTTCTTGCCGTCGGCAGTGTACCCCTCGGGCGGGCCCACGGGCTTGCCGACTGACTGGGAGAGGGCCTCGATCGCTTTGTCGTTGGCCTAACGGGCCTGGAGTGCCTCCTCGGTGGCCACCAAGACCTCGTCGTTCGCCCTAGCCAGAGCGGCCTCGGCTGCATCTTGGGCATCGGCTGCTCGACGAAGAGCAGCTTCCTTCTTCTGAAGATTCTGCGCAGTGTGATTGGCCTCCTGCTGGGGAGTGCGCTGCTTGACGAGACCGGCCGTGTACTTATTCTCGAGCTCCTGCAAGGCGCCGATCGAGCCTGCGAAGGCGGGGACCGCGGCGAGCATCTGGAGCAACGCAGCGGGGTCCGCAGGCTTCGTGTCCACGTGCCACGGCGGCTTGGTACCTGTAGACTTCGGGCCCTTGCCTTTTCGCTGGAACAAATCGATGATGCTGTTACACTTCGCACACCTTCCATCGTTGGCAATGATACGGAAGTTGCAGGCCCAGTTGCCATAACCGCTGCACCACGAGAAAGGCTGCTTGCGCACCATGCCGCGAGACTGACTGGTGCGATTGAGTGCCGAGGCGAACCCTCGGTCACAAACGACTGGAAGCTGACTCGGGGAACAGAGCTATCCCGTTTTGGCACGAGGGCACGGAAGCCCTCTCCTGCAAACATCTTGAGCCAAAATGGCTACGGAAGGAGGAGGAGGAGGAGGAGGAGGAGGGAGGGGGAGGGAGGAGGGAGGGGGAGGAGGGGGAGGAGGAGGAGGACGAGGAGGAGGAGGAGGACGACGACGAGAAAGGTGGAGGAAGAGGGAGGAGAACGGAGAAGGGAAGAGGGAGGAGGGAGGAGGGAGGAAGTAGGAAGGAGGAAGGAGGGAGGGAGGAGGGAGGAGGGGGGAGGGGATAGGGAGGAGGAAGGGAGAAAGAAGGAGGAAGGAGGGAGGAGGGGGGGAGGAGGGAGGAGGGAGAAGGAGGAGGAGGAGGGAGGAGGGAAGGGGGGGAGGGAAGGGAAGGAGGAAGGAGAAAGAAAGAGCGAGGGAGGGAGGGAGGAAAGGGAGGGAGGAAAGGGAGGGGAGGGCGGGAGGGAGGGAGGGGAGGGCGGGAGGGAGGAGGAAGAGGAGGAGGAGGAGGAGGAACAGGAGGAGGACGAGGAGAGGGAGGAGGAGGGCCTGCCCCTCTCGCTTCCCCCCCCCCGGGGCTCGCCGCCGACCCGCTCTCCCCGCCGCCGGTGCCGCACGAGGAGGGGGGGTGGGGGGCTGCGCACGGCGGGAGGCGAGGGCACCGGCGCCAAGGCCACGCGCACGCAGTGGAGCGCCTGCGGGGCAGCGCAGAATTGTGAAGGCTGAGGGGGTGGGGGGGAACGGGGAAGAGAAGGGAGAAGTGAGGAGGAGGAGGAGGAGGAGGAGGAATAACTAGCACTGGGGAGGAGGAGGAGGAGGAGGAGGAGGAGGAGGAGGAGCAGGAGGAGGAGGAGGAGGAGGAGGAAGGGGAGGAGGACCAGTGCAAACCCAAAACCCATCAACGATGTTGCAAGAAACCCTCCCTCCGAGCTCCCTCTTCATAGACTCCTCCACGGGTTCATTTTCACTGAACGAAATGCCCCGTTGGAAGCCAACCGTTTGAAGATCCCGAATTACGCCACAACGCCATCCCTGGGAGTTCAACGCCGCGAATCGCCGCTACTATTGCGTCTTGACGATCCTGAACCCTGCAAGAACATCATTCCTGGGACTTCAACACGGCAAATCAACGTGATCGCTGCGCCCTGACATTCCGACATCATACAAAAACACCATTTCTGGGACGCTAACAATGAGAATCCTCGAAACGCCTGCAAACTCTTGAAACGAATGCGCACGACGCTAAAGCGAGAACCACATTCGAAAAGGAAGCGTCCTCCATCCGTGCAAATCCTGCAAACCTTTCACACGACTACGCGCGGTGCTAAGGCGAGAGCCACAGTTTGAAGACGGACCGACCTCCACCCGTGAAACTGTTGCATAATGTAAGCACGAGTGCGCGCGGCGCTAAGGCGAGAACCACATTTTGAAAGCGGACCGCCCTCCACTCGTGAAACTATTGCAAATTCCACGTTTCAGGACCATACATGATGAGGAAGTCTCGGGCGAAATGCCAGGCCCGCCCTTTCGACCAGCCTCGGGGTGCGACCGGGAGGAATCATTTCTAAAGAAAAGGAACGAAGGAGGACGAGGCAAAAGAGGAGGAGGAGGGATGAGGAGAAACAGGACGAGGACGAGGAGGGGGGAGGGAGGAGGGAGGAGGAGGAGAGAGGAGGGAGGGAGAAGGAGGGGGAGGAGGAGAGGGAGGACGAGGAGGGAGGAGGAGGAAGAAGAGGAAGAAGACAAGGGACGGGGGACTCAGGAATCAGAACTCGGAGATCCGCGAGAGGGCTCCCAATGGGAACCTCTGCCATGGAGGAGGAGGAGGAGGAGGAGGAGGAGGAGGAGGAGGAGGAAGGGGAGGAGGATGTGGAGGAGGAGGACCTGTGCAAACCCAGGACTCATCAATAATATTGCCAACAGACCCTCCCTCCAAGCTCCCTCTTCATAGACTCCTCCACACATTCATTCTCACTGAAAGACATGCCCCGTTGAAAGCCAACCGTTTAAAAATCCCGAATTACGTCACAACGCCATCCCTGGGAGTTCAACGCCACGAATCACCGGTACTGTTGCGTCATGGCGGTCCTCACCCTCGCCAGAACATCACTACTGGGACTTCAACACCGCTAATCAACGTCGCGGCTGCGCCTGGACATCCTCGTGCCAAAACACTAGTCCCGCGACGTTAACAATGGAATATCTGAAACTGATACAGACTCTTAAGACGAATGCGCACGGCGCTGGAACGAGAACCACATTTGAAAAGGAAGCGTCCTCCATCCGTGAAACTCTCGCAGATTTTTTAGCGAATGCGCGCGGCGCCTAGGCGACAACACAAAAAAATCGAAAACTGCCCGCCCTGCATCCGCAAAACTCTTGCACACGTTTAAAACTAGTGCGCGCGGCGCTAAGGCGAGAGCAACATTTTGAAAACGGGCCACCCTCCACGCGTGAACTCTTTCCAACTTTCGAGCTGCAAAATCCTAAATCATGCGGAATTCTCAATCGAAACGCCTGGCCCGCCCTTACGGCAGGCCTCGGGGTGCGACAGGGAGGAGTTAGTCATAAGGCAAATGCATGCAGGTCTGGACGATGCCACCAGCTCGAGCTCAAGCAGGAGGAGGAAACCGAGGAGGAGGAGGGAGAGGAGGGGAGGGGCAGAAGAGAAGAGACGAGACGAGACGATACTAGACGAGAGCACAACAGGACCACAGATGCCACAAGAGGTGATCGCAGATGACACGTGAAGATAATCAAAGGCAACAAACTACAACAGCGTATAAGGTGCGACCAACCCACATAATAGAACCAAAGAGAAGAGAAGAGAAGAGAAGAGAGGAGAAGAGAGGAGAAAAGATCGGACCATCTGGGCGGAAACTTGTCCGCGGGCCGGCGGGCGAGCGCGCCGCGCCCGAAGCAGCTTGCCCGGTGCTGTCGGCGGAAGGGCCCTTCACACCCGTCTCTGGGCGGTCGGCCTGGGAAGGGGAGGGGACGAAAGGGACCCCCCCCTGTGAAGGTGCTACTTCTGAGATAGGCGCTGATGTTTTCCGTGTGTCGCCTGAGACTCAAGGGCCCTGGGAGCCGCAATGTTTACGGATAAGAAACAAGTGAGACGAGGGGCAGACACTGGGCTATCCAGCACTCTCGCTTTCACACACACACCCAGGCACGAGCTGGTGGTGTACTGCGACACCGCCTCGCAGCCGTCCGAGCCTCACCTTTTGGGGTACAGCGGAGCCTGCAATCCGTCTCTGGCACGACGGTGCCTCGCTGACAGTGGCGGCACACAGCCAGCACCCCTTCGGGACCCGCAGTGGCGGAAGGCCAAAGTGGACGCTTGCCAGGCGGCGCGCGGGCCTCGATGAGAAGTTTCGAGCTTTGGGCGCCCCCGGCGAGGGGCAGGTGGTCCGAGGTGGACTGGACGCGCACGAGTAGGATTGCAAAAAGGATTGCAAAAAAACCGAAGGATTGCAATCCTTGGTTTTTTTGTTTGCAATCCTTGGTTTTTTTGCAATCCTAGGTTTTTTTGTTTGCAATCCTTCGTTTTTGTTGCAATCCTTCGTGCGAGCTGCGTCACTTCGGTGGTGTCGGCGGGCTGGGCCCGGGCCCTGTGGGGGAAGGACGCTGCCTGAGGCAGGCCTTCCCCCCTCGCCTCCTCCTCTTCCTCCTCCTCCTCCTCCTTCTCGCCTCGCCCTCCTCGCCTCCTCCTCCTCCTCCTCCTCGCCTCCTCCTCCTCCTCCTCCTCCTCCTCCTCTTCCTCCTCCCTTCTCCTCTTCCTCCGGCGTGCTGCTGCTGTTGACTGTCGTAAAGCCACGGCTCATCGGCATGGCACTGCGGTCCGGAGAAGGCTGAGCCGTCTCCGACGCGCCGTGGGTGGAGCGCTGAGCGGGGTCTCTGTGGGCGCGACTGGTGCCTCCAAGGGCACTGCTGGGCTCGTCGAGTGTGGTATGATCCCGGCCGCTCGCAGCAGTGGCGGCGGGGCAGAGCACCTGGGACCCGGGGTCCTCGCGCGGAGGCTGCGTGGGTGCCTCTTCGCGGAAAGGGAGCCTGGCGGAAGAGGACCGTGCCTGGGGCAGGCCGCTCCCGCCGCGAGGAGTCGCGTGATGCGGCCCCTCGCCGCTTGGAGAGAAGAGAAGAGAAGAGAAGAAAAGAAAAGACAAAAGATAAGAAAATGAAAGAAAAGCATAGAAACAAAGGAAAGGAAATGAGAGGAGCACTGAAGAGAAAATGGAGAAGAGAGGAGAGAAGAGAAGAGAAGAGAAGAGAAGAGAAGAGAAGAGAAGAGAAGAGAAGAGAAGAGAAGAGAAGAGAAGAGAAGAGAAGAGAAGAGAAGAGAAGAGAAGAGAGAGAAGAGAAGAGAAGAGAAGAGAAGAGAAGAGAAGAGAAGAGAAGAGAAGAGAAGAGAAGAGAAGAGAAGAGAAGAGAAGAGAAGAGAAGAGAAGAGAAGAGGAGAGGAGAGGAGAGAAGAGAAGAGAAGAGAAGAGAAGAGAAGAGAAGAGAAGAGAAGAGAAGAGCAGAGAAGAGAAGAGAAGAGAAGAGAAGAGAAAGGAAGAGAAGAGAAGAGAAGAAAAGAGAAGAGAAGAGAAGAGAAGATAAGAGAAGAGAAGAGAAGAGAAACGAAGAGAAGAGAAGAGAAGAGATGGGAAGACAGGAGAAGAGAAATGAACTGAACAGATGAGACGAGAGTTCACGAGAAAAGAATAGAGGAGGAGCAGGATGAGAAGCAGGAGGAGGAGTGAAGAAGAGGATGAGGAGGGAGGAGGAGGAGGAGGAGGAGGAGGAGGAGGAGGAGGGAGGAAGAGAGGGTGAAGGGACGGGACGGCAGGACGGGACGGGTGATCCACGAAAGCTCCTCAGTGAGAAGGCTGCCAGGGGGAAAACAGTAAAAATTCCAGCCCATTGGAGGGGTGGAGGAGGAGGAGCAGCAGCAGCAGCAGTAGGAGGGGCAGCAGTAGGGAGCAGAGGGGGGAGAAGCAGGTGGAGGGAGAGTTGTGATGTTTCTTGCCTTAGAGAAAGGCTTCTGGAGCGGCCTCGTGGCCAAGGCTGGATCCGCCCTCGAAGTCCTGGTCAGAAGGAGGGGGGGGACGGGAGCTCGAGATCTGGTGGGTCTCGAGAGGCCTGGGAGCCCGAGTGCCGCACGGGTTGGTCCAGATGTCGTCCAGGCTTTCATCCGACTTCGCACGCGTGTCGTCCAGGCCGTCATGCGCCGTCGCCAGTCCATCCCGTCCAGGACTCGAGCGGGCCGGGGAAAGTACTGCGAGCTCTGGCCTCGAAACATGTCCTGGCAATACCAGGCCAGGACGAAGTAGTCAGGGGAACGGGGGGAAGAGCCAATGACAGTGTGACGCATACCGAGAGCTGATACTGCTTTACATCCACCGCTTTCGAGGCCACGTTGTTACATTCCACCACGTGCTCTACATATATCGGCAGCAGTGTTGCTACAATCAACGTGCCAAACATGCTGCGAGTTACTAGCCCAGAAAGAGAAACCTGTTCCCTCAGACGGCCATACTTCGGACCCCAGCATGTATATAGAGAGGGAGCACAAGAGAAACTGAAGCACAACAGTTTAATGTTTGCCAGCGCGAACACCAAACAATAAAGTATTCACTGTAAATGTGAAATCTATGTGGTGCAAGCCACGTGGTATAAGCCGTGTTGCAATATCTGTGGTGCAAGCTATGTGGTA